TATGCAATAACCCTATCTTTTTGCATCAAGACACATCCCAAACCCTTTTTAGAGGCATCACTATATATAGTGAATTTTTCCCCATTAATTGGAAGTGCAAGTACAAGAGCAGTGATCAACTTCTCCTTCAAGGTCAAAAAGCTCTTCTCACACTCTGGGGTCCACTCAAACTTGGTGTCCTTCCTGATAAGACGAGTCATGGGCAAAGCAATTCTAGAGAAATCCCCCACAAATCGGCGGTAATAACCAGCCAATCCCAGAAAACTACGGATTTCTGCAACATTATTTGGCCTCTTCCAATCAACCACGGCCTCAATTTTCTGGGGGTCAACAGAGATTCCATCCTTAGTCACCACGTGACCTAGGAATGCAACATTGTCTAGCCAAAATTCACACTTCTTGAATTTAGCAAATAGCCTTTCCCTTCTCAACGTCTCGAGGACTGTCTTCAAGTGCTTCTCATGAAGAGCATGGCTAGAAGGATAGACCAAAATGTCATCAATAAAGACAACCACAAACTGGTCTAGGTACTTGCTAAACACCCGATTCATCAAATCCATAAATCTGGCAGGGGCATTTGTCAAGCCAAAAGGCATGACTATGAATTCATAATGACCATAACGGGTGCGAAAGGCAGTCTTTGGCACATCATCAGGTTTAATCTTCACCTGGTGGTAGCCATATTGAAGATCAATCTTAGAAAATACCTGAGCACCCTTGAGCTGGTCAAACAAGTCATCAATTCTAGGAAGGGGATACCGGTTCTTCACAGTCACCTTATTCAATTCCCGGTAATCAATGCATAGCCTCATGCTCCCATCCTTCTTCTTGACAAACAACACTGGAGCTCCCCAAGGGGATACACTAGGGCGTATAAACCCTTTCTCAAGGAGTTCCTCCAGCTGGATTTTTAACTCTTTCAATTCTGTAGGAGCCATACAGTATGGTGCTTTGGAAACGGGTCCGGTGCCAGGAACAAGGTCAATAGCAAATTCAACCTCTCTATCCGGAGGTAAACCTGGGAGATCCTCCGGAAATACATCTGGAAACTCACGCACCACCGGTATATCTTCTAGTCTCGATGTCACACTACTAGCATCAGTAACAGAGACTAGGAAACCTTGGCAACCATTTACAAGATATTTATGAGCCTGCAAGGCAGATACTAACATGGGTGGAGCAAAAGAACCACTGCCTTGAAAACTAAATTCTGGCTCACCAGGAATATTAAAAATTACCCATTTCCGATAACAGTATATAGAGGCAAAATGTTTTGACAGCCAATCCATCCCCAAAATGATATCAAAGTCGGAGATATCTAAAACAAACAAACTAGCACTCAACTGTCTACCATCAACATAAATATCCACA